AAACACTGACCAGTCATCCTGTAACACTGGCCAAAATGTCTTCGTCCATAATTCTGGCACACAGGTGCCCCACTAACTGAACCAGAATTGGCTACTGCCACTACTAGAAGCTGCTCCATATACTGACTGTCCACTCCTCTTAGAATCTCCATATACAAATCTGTTCTTTTTCCCAGAAAAACTACTACCAGATGCATCACCACTGAATCTCTTCCTACTAGCAGTCCACCGCTGCTAAGTAGCCATCAAATCATTCTCTATCAGTCGAGCTCTCTTCACAAGCTCAGAGAAATCAGATATATGAAATGGTACCAGGAGTTACCTCAGACTATCTCGAAGTCCCCTCAGAAATTTATAACACTTCTCAACAGAAGTACTGACCAACTGTGAAGCATATCTCGTCAAAGCAGTAAACTCTACCTCGTACTACATAACTGTCTTGCTCCCTTGAACCAACCTCAGAAAAGTCATGCATTTGTTGTCTTACAGTAAGGGGTACAAACCATGCTCTAAAGACTTCAGAAAATTCTTCCCATGTAATCAGAGAGTTCCGTTTACCTTAAAATTTCTCCTCCTGCTGGCTCATCCACCAGCGCTCTGCTTCACCATCCAATAGAAAAACTGCTAATGACACATTTCTATCAGAAGGATATTGCATACCATCAAAGGTCTTTTCCAACCTCCTCAACCAATCCTCTGCTGCTCTGGGCTCAACAGTGCCCTCAAATCTCGGAGGCTTTAATCTCAGAAATATTTATAGATGTCTATCTACCTCTTCAGATCTAACAGCAGAAACTCTATTCTGCGTCTAACTCATCATCTGAGCTATTAGTGTGGCAAACTGAGAAACTGTATCTGAGCCAACTACCGGAGCATAAATATTCACAGGAGCTGCTTGACTAGCACTCTGCCCATTAGTCATATCCGGGTCTAGCAGATCCATAATCACACAGAATGCAATTATAAACATGCATATAAAACAAAATAATAAAAATCCAGACAGACCCAAAAGTACACCACCAGACTTACAAATCATTTCTTATAGCTCCGTCTTATGATCCAAATTCCAAAACTATTGCTCTGATACCACTTTAATTTGTCACGACCCAACCTGATCGGAACGAATCCCATCGCGTTGAGTCGCGACGGATGAATCCAGGATCTAGCTTTGGAATTTGTTTGCATACTTTTTTTCCAATACACAAAGGAAAACATAAACACAAAGCTACTACGAACTTCCAAATACACAGAAAACTCATCCATGATTCTCTTCTTCTATCATTCTTCAAAATAATCATATACATTACAGTACATGGCTTCAAACAAAAGATACAGAATAGAAAGTAAACTAGTCATGACTGTACAAAAATCAAAAGGGCAAAATACCTGACTTTCAATCAGATTCTGAACGGCTAGTCCAAAACTTCCTTCCCTTTCCGAGAACCTGAAAACCACGAAGATAACCATAGTGAGCTAACAGCTCAGCAAGACTACACTAGCCGATCTAAATTTCCATATTCTCACATTCCAAAACAATTCCCATAAATAATAAAATAGTTTATTCAGATAGCCGTACAAAAATTCAAATATTCATCAGAAATTCAGATATTCAAACAGAATTCAGATAATCGTACAAAAATCAGAAAATCAGAAAATTAGATAATCGGATAGAATTCAGATAACATATACAAAACAGATAATTATACGGTATCAAATAACATATACAGAAGAAGTGAATCAAATTTCGTATCACAGAATCATTCAAATCACATTTCAGATCACATTTTAAATCAGATTTCAAAGCATATTTCAAATCACATATCCCTGACCCAGACAGAATCTCAAAGCATTCTGGCCCCTTATGCCTCCCTTCCCTGACACAGATAAAATCTCAAAGGATTCTGGCCCTTTATGCCTCCCTTTGTGCTTATGACATCATAACATATTAGATATACAGAATTATCAGATCATAATTCATTTTCATATTCTCGGACCCAGACAAAATCTCAAAGGATCCTGGCCCCTTATGCCTCCCTTCCCTGACACAGACAGAATCTCAAAGGATTCCGGCCCCTTATGACTCCCTTCTGATATCATTCAAATCACATCAACCATCAATTCATATCAAATTTAGAGAAATCAGATTTGTATCAGAATATCGTCAGAGATTATAACGGTAGACAACAGAAATTCAACAGATCAGAAATTCACAGTTTCATAAAATTACCAAAGATAGTATAAAACATCATTTTAAGACTTTCATTGTACTGAAGCAATATTTTTCAATATCCAGATAATTTTTTATTCGATAAAAACCCCACATAATTCAGATTACCCAATGAAAATTCTCCAGAAAATACTCAAAACGTGTAAAATCATTATCTCGAAAATATACCAAAAGTTACGCGGTAAAAGTTTTACCAGTGCAAAGATATACCCGTTTTTCGCTAACGAAAAAAAATTTTGAAACAAAAATTCTGTCAAATCTCACATTTCTGAAAATTGAGAAAGACATAATGTGCCTTACCTCAAGTCGATCAACTTTCCCAACTGCGGCGACAGACGAAAACGGATCGAAGGATTTCTCCCTCTTTCTTTCTTTTTCTCTCTCCTATGCTTTCTCTCTCTTCAAAAATATCTCAAATCCTCTATTTAATGAACTCGATCGTCCCGACGGTGTTCCTGGTTTTTCCCAGAACGATGATCAATTTCGTCCCTGGACGAAGCTCTTTGTCTAAAAGCTTTCAACTGTTCGTCCCGGACAAACCCAACTTCGTACGGACGAACCTAGAAGGAAAATCCAAAACACGCTGAACATGAAAGAAAAAGGGTTTTCACACGTGACACGTGTCCTCTAACCGGTGGTTTCATTGCCAAATGGCATCACAGGTAAACTGTTATGACAGAGACTCTCTAACCTGGTGGTCTTGCCACCAAATGACACCATTATATTACGGTCATGGTCAGAGCCCGTATATTCCCCAACGACGCTAAATCCTTGAGTAATTAATCAATATGATATGACTGATAGGGCACAAGCCCTTTGTCAGTTAGGGTGGATTCAAATTTATCCTCTTAGATAAATATTCACCCAATGTCTACAAGGTAGCCTTTGACGAAGCAACCCATGGCTGCCAACAAGGATCCTTCTGTCAGGTTAGGTCGAGTACCTCCTTTGACTAAGAAACCAAGGACTATGATAACCTATGACGACGGAACCATGGGATATGGATCGGGTTTATCATCACTCCCCCCACCATCCGCTTTAAATGCAAGGTGGTAAATTACAAATTTTAAATACCTAAACATGCTGCTACTATATGCCAAATACTTTGTATCTGTTTGATAACTAGCCTTAATCGAAAGTTCACTCATTATCGGGAAAGGTAATTAATTATAGGGGCTTGCGCCTATAGGAAACTTGAACTCATATCATAAATTCCTCACAAAATAAGGGTGAACTATCTAGGTAATGTCTTATTCAAAATCCAATCTACCTTCTGAAAATTTGCCTAAGAACTTAATCTTTAAAACTCTCCTTGATGACCAGAAAAAAAGAAAGGGGCCACAGAGAGGCCAAGGCGCAAATTTTCGGAGCCCACAACATAGATTCAACACCTTAAGTAGAACTCACAAGGAACAAATGATGAAGGGGTATTCATAAAGCAAACTCCAAATAGTTAGGATATGACTAATGATAATAATGTTGTATATAATTATGAATTCTCCATCATTCATGCCTATTGAGTGTTAATTAGTTGCTAATTCTATTTTCTAAATACCTGGCACAACTTTTACCCATGCTACTTTTAGTCTATCATTTTACTTTTGCAACTTTTTACATTAATTCTATCTACCTTTGTTATTGGGGCATGTTCCATCTTTTATTATGCCTACTCAAAATAACCATGTCTATTTTTATTACCTTATTTTCAATAAATTGTACAACCATCATTTCTTTATTATTACTTAATCTATATTTTAGAGCTTTATTACTTATCTTAATGTTATCATTTATCACACTTAACTTGATTCACGACGACTTTGTTATTCAGCATTCTCTTTATAGCATATTAATCTCATTTTTATGCAATTTATCCTATATCTTTATGATTTTCTCTCATGACATGATACATTGAAGTATTTTTTAATATCTTAGTTTTAGCTCTATAAGTTTTGTCATCATCTATTTCCTTAATGTTATTTATATTAGAGATATAAAGTACCCAAAAAAAGTGTTCACAAAATAAAGGTACTATCTTATCTAACAAAAATTTAGTGTTAATAGAGACAAAGGAATACCAATTTTAAATCCACTCAATTATATATGGTGCATTCAGTCGTTATTGATCTAAGTTGTCGCCAATAATTATCTCCATTAGTTCAGCTTTTTGCTTGCTAAAATAGATCATCTCATGATTCTCACCTGTAAGTATGTTATCTACAACTAGAATATATATCATGATATCTCACATCTCAATAACCAAAAAAAGATATAGGCATAATATGTTCTACAACCTAATCTTGCTGGCTGAAAACTTTAATCACTCCAAAGCCAACTAATAGTGGAAGTCATTGCTCCACCATGCATATTTTCAACAAATGCAACATACTTCTACCCACATTGTCTTCTTAATGCTAACCAAATCAATCCCTGTGTAGATGTAAAAGTTGATCATATGCCTTTTGACTATCAATTGAAATCATAAAAACTTGAGCTTTCTTTTATATTTTATTGGAATATGCATGCGCTTAATTTTCACAGTTCTTCTCTAAGCAAGAAAAAATTGTCATGTATCCCTAGGGCTCATTGGTTGAGGTCTTTCGCTCCATCCAAAAAATCTTTAGTTCAATCAGTGGCATAAACATGTTGGTGTGTGATTTATATTTTATCACTCAACTTTCAAAAACAAAGGAAAGAAAGAAGCTATTTTTTATACATTTAACATGCAAAATATTCTGAAAAGGTCCTAACATGTCAATCTTTGATTGCCATACAGTAAATGCCAATGAGTGCTTAATGACAAGAGTCCAGGAGATGTCCATGGATTATCACTTTAAGGTGGAACAAGAATCAGGCTCATCAGCTGCAGCTTTCTTTGGTTTTAATGGTATGGTTTATCGATCATCTCTTGTATCTTTATTACGGATTTGTAGCAAATTCTAAGAGAAACTTGCAAAAGCCTCCCTATTGTTTACCCCCTTAAAGAAAAAAACCTTTATTTAATTTTTATTTATAAATTCTTATAATTCCTACTTCTTGTTAAAAAAATTACTCTGATTAAAAATTTATTATTTTTCTAAGAATATTATTTTAATACCACTTTCCACTCTCCTACTCATCAACCTCCCATCTTTCGCTATGGTGGCCATAGAATTGAGAACTTTTATTTTATCCGGTGAACGTACAATCCTTTACGTTTGGTTATAGGCAAAAAAAGCGCAATACCGAGTACCGAGTACCGAGTACCGAGTTGTACCCTAAAAAACTCGGTATTGCGCTGTTTTGGTCTAAAACCGAACGTAGAGGAGCGTACGTTCACTGGATGTAATAAAAGTTCATTGATGAGTAGGAGAGTGGAAGGTGGTATTAAAATGATATTCTTAGAAAAATAATAAATTTAGAGCTAACCAAATATTTGCCAAAAAAATGAATCAAGCAGATTATAAATTTTAAAGAAATATTTCAAATTATCAATCCTACCTAAAAATTCTTCAAGATTATATATTCCATCTAATATAGGAATGTAAATATAAAGATCATGATGGCCGCAGTATTTGTTAGAATCATAATTTACACACATTTACATTGCTTCATTTATTATTTCATTGAATGACATAATTATTATGTCATACTTCTAGTTGACATGATGATGCAATCATAAGCATGGGTCTAGAGGTTTAATGCAACTAAATGATTTAATGAATGAAACCTCACAAATCACATTTGATATTCGTAGTTCCAATGACTGTCAATAAAAAATAAGAATTTACCTTCTTTTGATGTAAACCCAAAAAAATGAAAATTTATTCCAAATAATAACTCAATGATCGATTTAGCTAAAAAAATTCAATTATACCCACAATATGATTAGAATTAACATTGCAGTCAAAAGATTAGTTGTAGCAAATTTCTCTAAAATCAATCACGCTCGTAAAACCAATATAAAATTTATGTATGAAAAGAAATCATGATAAGGGAGTAAACACAGTTAATATAGACCTCACACAAATATAAGGAAATGGCTTCTCTATATATTTGTAGTTGTACTTCCATCGCACTTGAAAGAATTAATATCTAACTAAGCAAACACGAGATTGAAGAAATGAGAAATAAAAAAGTTTTATTGAGCCAAAAAAGCTTATATGTATGCCTGAATTGTTTTTTCTTTAAGGTCAAAACAAACCCTAAGGTTAGTTGCCTCCAACATTTCGGTGGCAATTCTTGTTGAGAATATCAGTTTCTTGTTATAGTTATTAGAATTATTATGCTTAAAAAAAATATTAGAATTATTATGCTTAAAGATTTTACCATATTAATACGATAACATATGGTTACTATTTATGATAGGAATTTAATTTATTTTTTGTAATATCTCATTAATATCTTATTAACGAATATTCTCATTTATTATATTCTTTTATTACATCTATATATGTATGCTTGAATTAGTATTATGATTAATAAGTAAAGACTAGTTTTTTATATTTTCTAACCTGGGAGCCTTTGATCTAAGTTTCTTCTTAGCCTTGTCTCAATAGGGCTTAGCTAGTCTGCCCTCGTCTCTTCTTTGTCTTGCGTGTCAGATATTTTGGCTCTCTTCTTTGTGTCTCATATGGCGCTCTACTCATTTCCCTCCTATCAACACTTGCTTGACTCGTCTCCTTAGTGTCGATTACAATTTATACTTGCATACAATTCTATCAGTGCTCGGATTGTGGTTTGCTCAATGTTCTCTCTCCTATCTAGCTTAACGCGTGATGCACGGCTCTATTCGATCGATGCTCAATGAATTGGATCATTTCCTTGATCTTGTTCTTTATCATTCACTTGAAGCTTGGCATATTGCCCATCTCTCTTATCATACAATTTATTTTTCGTAACAGTCTTCATAATCAAGCTCTATCTCAACATCTTCTTCGCCTTCTCGATAATGCTCGTTCAAGCACTTGTTAGTGTCGATTATCTTTAGCTTGAATTATGACAACTTTTCTATTCTTCAATCTCAAAAATGAATCGATAATGGCTTTCAATGGCTTGTCGTCTTTGATCTTGACAACGCATTGGTTGCTTTTGCTCTATATATCATCTTGGTCGCTTGTGGGAGTTCCCTGGTCCTCTCATCCTAGATGTGTTCGTTCTCTCATTCTCAATGCTCGGTCCAACACCAATCTCTCAGTTATTATTGGTTTCCCAAAGACCTCGTTCTAGCATCAACTGGTTTATATCGGCAATCTCAAAAACCTTTTAAAGACCCCTTGCCTTAGATTTATTGTTTCTTCTTATCAAACTCTTGACGCTCCTTATTGCCGCATCATGAGTTTGTAGAGGGAATTGTTAAAAAGAAGATATAACCATCTCAATATTATTACAGGCGATTAATATTTATGGTAGCAATCTTTAGTATTATTATTGTAATATTTTATCATTATTGATCATATTTTCTTTCTCTTCTCTTACCAGTATATTGGCATGCTTATACTGGTATCAGGACTAATCAAATAAAGATGTGGTCTTTCATGTTTTCTAACACTATTAATCGTAAATACTAGATTCTACCTTTGTTATGCTACAGTGTTGAAATCTAATTAAATGCTATAGCTAAAGTTGTGTTTCAATTCCTTCATAGACTTCAAATTGGAAATCATGACCCTATAATAGAATATTCTCAGTATAAACCCATTACAACGGATACGTCATTAAAAAATTCATCTAATCAAATATGAATCTCGATGTAATACTTCAATTAAAAATTTCATAATTTAATTCAATATCATTTGAATTTCAATTTTAATAAGCTTATAGTCAAAACAAATATTTTGGTAAGATAAGCCTAACGGTCTTAAATTTGACCACAAAAGAAGAACTTTATTTAAATATTTTTGTTTTTCCTCATGCCTTAAGCTCAATGCTAATGGCCTAATGCGAGTTGAGAATTAGGAGAGAGGACCAACACCCTGTTTATTGTAGCAGTGAGATCCTGTATGACAATGAATGATGCTATTCATTCGCGAACAAGACAACCATGTCATTAGTATTTTTAGCATAGAAGTTGCATTCATATTTTTAAGCTCATATTATTGCGTTCATACCTAGCTTTTCATTGAAGGCTATATTGCAAAAACTAAAAGCTTTTGAGCAACTAATCAAGAGTGGAGTTACGAGAATTTGACATTCACTTTCTACCCACGTCGGCTATCAAATCACATGTACTTGTAGACTTTATAGTTGCATGTATATTCCTAACTCGATTGAATCACCTCCTCCTTTTTTTTCAACTTATTAGATATTATATGTTAATGGAGCCTTTGGAACATGGATCTTGCTTATCTCATCCTAGCATGAGACCTTGGAAAATGGACTTCGCTAGAAATTCTTAACAACTAACAACATCATTGAGTATGAAGCCCTTGTGGCAAGACAAAAACTTTTCGTTGACTGTGCCACACCGACTCTCAACTTATGACATCTCCAATTGAAGGGCATTTTGACGCTCATAACCCACAATTAGTGTAGTACCTCAACTTGGTGAAATCAATTCTCTCTCGCATCAATAGACTTTAGATCATCCACATAAGAGCAGAATGCCTGAGCTAATGCTCTTTCCAACCTATTACTTCAATAATAGCGGATTTGATACATTGAGGATGTACATTTTCTAAGTATTCATAGTCTATTGGAACTACTATATGGTGATGAATTAAAGAGAATCTCTTGGATGAACCCCATCATCTCCTTATGTGTTGTGATGTTGCTTGAATACTCAACAACCTCTATTCGCCTTTGATAACAAACTGCAAATTTTATTATTATTGGAAATGAATTGTATCCCTCCATTGTCCTGAAAAAAAAAGAAGGAAGAGTCGCAATGATGCCATGTGGATTGATAGAAGACCAATTTAGGGCTCAATCACTTATTCACTTTATATGAAGTCCATGAATTTGGGTTAAGCATCAAGATTAATCAAAGCAGTTCTTGTTAAATCCAATTATTAAAAAGAAAAGCATAAGCAGAGATTGAATGCAGTCGGCTTTCTAAAAGAATCCTAAGAACCATGGAATGAGTTAGCCTCAAAATTATATATTTTAAAATATTTATTTTTTAAAGTATTTTTTAATTGATTTCAAGCTAAATCAATATGATAGAAGTATGGCTTGAACTCAAATTGATAAAAAGACCCGACTTTTTCTTTTTCGATCAAACCCGTTAATCTGATTTAAGCTTTGATTACGGCTACAATCTGATCCATTTTTTTTTTATCTATCTTCAACTTTTTAACGAAATTAACGACCCTAACGCCAACTAATTATTGTCGAGGGCCATGATAATTACAGAATGATAAAAAATACTTGGTTTTCGAGTTCCGTTGAATACTGAGATAAGAATCAAGAGCTCTGAAACCGGCAGACATCACTCTATAAAATCAGAGCACTTCTGGAAACTACAATCAACACACCATCCATTTCAGAAATCACTCCATCTGCTGTCCTGCACAGTTACTTCCATCAAATCACTCCAAAAAACCTGCCAGTTGCATCCCGTCAGTTGTATCTCTGCCAGCTTGCGGCCCTCTTGTTGTGCCTCCTCCAGCTTGCAGTGCGCCTGCTACAACCCTTCCATGGGTTGTCCACCAGCTAGTGCCTCAACGCCAGCTTCGTATCCACTACCTTGTCCCTTAATATGGAAAGGCGTTCTTTGCTTTATTCATTCCTGAAATTATTGTAATTGATTGTGTTAATTTTATTCATATATTTTCTCTTTTAAGAACCAATTATAGCTTGAATTTATTATCCAGTTTTTTCTATTCTAGACTAACAACTTAAGTTATAAACACTATACTTCTATCTATTGGAATTAGAAATTTGTATTATCATTCTTCTATGTTTTTTACAACATCCGATGTGATGCTTTGCAATTAACAACATCCTATGTGATGCTTTGCAAATCCCAAAGGTAGTCCGCACACCAGCAAGCTTTGACGCCAGCTCATTGTGTTGAGTAACTTTACTGTCAAGGGTAGCTCGGTAGTGAAGGAGATCATTATTATGCTGGGAAGGAGGAAGAAGAAGATTTTGTTTTCTAGCGTACACGACATAAAGGCCATGATGAACTAAAATTCAACTTCTTTCAACTTGTTATTTTAATCGGGGCAAACTATGGGGGAGCTTTTTACATATTTCCCTAACTTTAAACTGAGAAATATGTTTCATTAAAGGTTTAGTGACCAAACAGATGAAAACTTAATGTACAGCTATTGCTTCATAAGCAGGTACTGCTGGAGTATGGAGAATCATGGCGTTAAATGAAGCAGGAGGTTGGAAGGAGCGCACTACTGTAGAGGATATGGACTTGGCTGTTAGAGCAAGTTTAGGAGGTTGGAAATTTTTATATGTAGGCAACATCCAGGTAAATCTTTTGCTTAATCAAATATATATCACTTACCTAACTTAAAGATAAAAGGAGGTTATGATCTTTACTATGGAAATTTCTAACCATTCCTGTTTGGATTGTGTTTTGCTATGCTCATTTGCTCTAGTTATTCTTCTTCATACATAATTTAAATAAAAAACAATTAAAAAATATTCTATAATGAGAAAATAAATAAAAAGAAAACCTACATTTTATTAATATAAAAATATATTGAAAAACATATGACATTTATAACAAGAACATTTTAATTTACTTAAAACGAAGATTGCAATTCTCTTCTCGGCAACATATAAGACTGAAATTTATGGGCTTCAATTTCATTAATTCCTATGGAAGATATTTAGAGTTTTTAAAATGATAAAAACCCTTCAATGATTGTTTCAATTTTCAAAATTTAAAATAAAAATTTATTAGGTTCTTACGGGTAGAGAGAGAGAGAAAGAGATTTGAAGAAAAAAAAAGTCATCATATCTTTTGTCATCTTCTGTAGGACTTATTATATAATGCACTTTATACAGAGAGGAGAGAGTTGTTGAGGGAAGACCCAAGTAGTTTGAGAGGAGCTCAGATGGGAAAATTCCAATTTAAGAAGACCAGCCAGATAGAAGAAAATTAGCTCTTACTTTTTAGTAAAGCATTCTTTTCAGAACAATAACTTGAAGACTATATAGTTGACAAAAGAAAGAGAGAGGAGATGGGAAGACAATTGCAGCCTTTCAGTTAGTTCTTTTTTTATTTAATGAGTCAATGCGGGCTTGTGTCCCCATTGCCCCCATCATAGATTTTTTTTTTTTTTTGGGAAATTTAGCGGTAAAAAGCCCTTCTATTACTTGAAAAGTAAAAACAATTACAAGTAAAGAAGAAATATAAAAGAAGAACAGCCCAACATAAGAAAAAATATAAAAAAAACTTACGTGGGCAAAAGAAACCACAACTATACCACCCTAATTATCCAAAAAATTTGAAGTACCAAAATGTGGTAATAGATGCAACGCATCTAGGACTCAGGTTGCTGACCATATAGGAATACTCGATAGGCTCGCAGAAACGAAGATCCCCTAGTTGACGAAGAAAGACCATCCAAGGGGAAAGAGGACCAGCCGCTATCATCATCGTCCTCAAAAATTCCCGCAGGGACCGAAGCAGCTTTCCTGACAACCCATAAGGTCGCCAAGGAGAAAAACCAGCCAATAAACCTCTTCCATATGCAAATTTCCAGCCATAAATGAAACTTCCAGCAGCCCCAAAAATACCTTTCATCTGTAAAGCATAACATCCAAACCATCTGAATATAGCAATCCCCACGGCCATGAGATAAAAACAAAGCCAGCACAGTCAAAAAAAATTCAGCATATTTGTGTTTGATCCCATCAATATTTTTCCAATGCTTCACCTTTACTTTAATAATAGATTTAATACTCTCAGCAACCCCATAAGGAGACTTCCAGGAATTAGAAAACCTCATATTATTTCTCTCCCTCAAAATATGATAAATTGCACAAGTCAATACCGAGAAACAGAAATTTTTCTCCACAACAGAATAAGAGAAAGTAGTGTTCAGCCAATCAAAGGCCAAAAATAGATTTGGCCTAAATAGAAATTCCCTAAAAATAGGCAGAATTAACAGCAACACAGAGAAGGAGAAATCACATTCGAAAAAAAGGTGCTGAAGAGTCTCCCTATGAGATTTGCAGAAGGAGCAATCTGCAGTGACATTAATGCCAATCCTTATAAGAGTATCCGCACACTTAAGCTTGCCAATCAAAGCCATCCATGTGTAACAGGCAAACTTAAGGGAAGCTTTTTTAAACCAGACAAAATCATGCCAGTCAACCAACACTAAATTATAATAAAATTTGGAAGTGAAATCCTTAAAGGTAGGCCTGCTGGTGCCATCCCACATCATAACCGACTCCTCAAAAATGGCAATATTCAAAATCTCAGTTTTAATCTCCAAAGGGAAGGCATCAGGTAAAGACCAAGCACCATCAGAAATAAAATTCCCCACTACAGCAGAAGATAGCCTAATATCAGAAATAAAATCCCCCAACAGTTTACCATTTAACCAAGGATCCCAAAGGAAAGAAAACCTGCTATTGGGACCAGTAAAAAAAGAGAAATAATGCTTAAAAGCCAAAGCATGAGTGCAAATCATTTCAAGAAGTTGGAAGAGGACGGTGGAGCAGATTTCCAAGGAGATAGGAATTTAGCTTTAAACCACTTCCCCACCAGGTTGTCAACATTATATAATTTCCAAATGAAAGAAGCAGCAGTACCAAAATAAAGGGCATCAAAGGAATGAATACCCAAACCACCATGAATTTTCGGCTTAGTAATAGAGTTCCAAGCAATTAAATGCATTTTTTTTGCTTCAGTGTCACCATGCAGTAAAAACTTAGAACAAAGCTTAGAAATAAGAGTTCTGCATCTTTTAGGTATAATTGCTCCTCTAATCCAATAGGCTATCGTATTAGCAATCGTGTATTTTAAAAATTGAAGCCGACCTATAAAAGACAAAAACTTAACTTTCCAACCCGTAAGTAGAGCAGAAATTCTGCTCAGTAGGGGTTGGAAGTGAGAAAATTTGAGTCTGGATGGGGAGATGGGAAGACCAAGATAGGCGAGGAGGACATTGGTGTTCTGAATGCCAAGAAGGTCTGCAATAAGAGAGGGGGCAGTGACATTTTTTGAAAAAATAATAGAGCTTTTGGTGGGGTTAACAGCTAGGTTTGAGGCCTCAGCAAACCGATTTAAGGAAAGTAAAAGGAACTGGGCATCGTCATGTTCAGCTTTCCCAAAAACTAACAAATCATCAGCATACATCAAGTGGTTAACACTAACCCCATTACAAGTGATACCTTGGAAGATATTGGGATGAAGGCAGTGAGATAAGCCATCCATGGCAATATAAAACAAGAGAGGGGAGAGGAGGCAATCCTGTCTCAGACCAGAAGAGGACTTGAAAAAGCCTTCAAGAGAACCATTGATGCAGATAAAAAAATACACATCAGAAATACAGCATTTAATCAATTTGATGAAGTGTTCAGGAAAGCCTTTAAGTTTTAAGCGGTGTAACAGAAATTCTCTAGAAAGAGAGTCAAAAGCTTTCCGAATATCCAGCTTAGCACAGAAAAATTTGATATTGGCATTGAACTCCCTCAACAACTCAGCAGCCAAAATAACATTATCAGAGGCACAACGCTTGGCAATAAACCCAACTTGACTTTCATGAATTATAAGAGGAAGCACCTCTTTAAGCCTATTAGCAAGCAACTTGGCAACCACTTTGTAGAACACATTGCAAAGGGAAATGGGCCTGTAATCCGTAATATGAGAAGCATGTGTATTTTTTGGAATTAAGGCAATGGCAGTAGCTTTAGTGGCTCTAGGGAGATAAGCATTGGAAAAAAACCATTTAACAGCCCTACAAAAAATAGCTCCAATCACATGCCAAGTTTTCTTATAAAACTCAAAAGAGTAACCATCCGGGCCAGGAGCAGCATCCGATTTACCAGAAAAAACAACTTTCTTAATCTCCTCATCCATCACCAAATTGAGAAGCATAGGATAAAGCTCAGCAGGAACTGTTTTACCAACAGGAATATGAACATCCTCCCACCCCACAGAGATCGGGGAGTTAAATAAAACCTTGAAATGATCAGTAATTGCTAAAGAGATATTTGCATGAGTAGTGAAGGAGCCATTATCAGTAATAATTTCCCTAAGAAAATTACTATTGCATCTAGCTTTAATTTTAGCAAATAAAAACCCCAAGTCATCTTCACCCTTCAAAAGCCAATAGGTCTTAGCACGCTGAGAAATCCAAGCCGACCAAGCAGATTGAAGATTATCCAATTTATCATTAATCTCTTTAAGTGAATTGTTAAAAATCGGATTCAAAGGATTAGATTGAATCTCATCCAGACAACAGATTTGAGAATATTTCAAATCCTTGATGGCATTACTAAGAGAAGCAAGGTCCTGAAGACCACAGTCGAAAACACATTTGTTGAGTTCCCCCAGAGAGCTTTGAGTCGGATTATTTCCCCCAGCTTTTTCATAATCAAAACGGTAACAATTAAAATCACCTAAAATGATCCAAGGAAGATCACTAGAAGGTGCAACATTCCGGATATCATCCCAAAGAACTTTCCTGTCATTCACATTATTGGAGGCATAGACAACAGATAGCTCAAAAGAAGCAGCCCCCCAAGAGAAGGAACCATGGATGAGTTGAGAGGAAGAGAAAGAGGGGATAAAAGTAACAGCAGCTTTGTCCCACTTGAGCCAAATCCTACCCGGATTAGAAAAACATAAATTATTGTAACTATCCTCCAAATCAAACACTTTATGCCGGTGCAGAAACCACGGGTCTAAAGTAGACTGAATAGGAACTTTTGCTTCAAGAATTGCCAGAAATTTGAGACAATGAGAAGAAACTAAATCTTTGCAAAGACGAACTTTGTCAGGGTTATTAAACCCCCTCACATTCCAACAAGCTAATGGAGAAGCAGACATTAATAACGGGATCCTTTGCCTTTTTTGGCAGTTTTAGGCTTAACTTTTTTGGCTTCTTTGGGTGATTTGGATTTGACTTTGGAATTATGAAGACGGTCTGAAGAAGAACAATCCGTAGAGGATTTAGTCGTAGAAGAAGAGGGGAGCTCTGCATCAGCAGTATCATCGTTTCCAGGAGGGTTATCAAGAGGAGGAAGCTCAGCATCAAAAGCTTGAAGGGAATCAAACTTATTTGCAGTAGGGATTTTAGGAGGGGGAATAGAGGAAGGTGGAGTAGACTGCTCCGAGGAGGAAGCAACATCCATAAAAAGGTTTAAATTGGGTAAAGAAAGGTCTTTAGTGGAGTCGGGAAGCACAACAGGCGATTGTTTAGGTTCAGGGGACAAAATGACAGGTGTATTAATAATAGGCTTGGATAGAATCCCATCCAAGGGCACAAGAGAAGCCTCACCAACCAA